CTTGTCATCTTCACAAAGAGTTTCTTTCAGGGCTGGAGTGATAGGTAGGGCATTTGCCTTGCACGCGGACATGTCATTTGCCTTGCACGCTGCCAACCCGGGTTCCATTCCCAGCATCCCATATGATCCCCTGAGCACTGCCAAGAGTAATACCTGAGGGCATGTACCAGCAGTTACCCCTGTGCATCGCTGGGTGTGACCCAAAAAGAAAATAAAAGTTTTTGGAGGTTATCAGTCTCACAGAATTTTTTCATCACCCTCTTGTTCCTTACAGAAAATATTCAAACTCCATCTGTATTGGGAACTGCACATTCTCTGCAGCTTCCCTTCCTGTGGTGAACAATGCAGCTTCCCTAACAGGAAGTGTCTGAAACTACTCCAGTGTATCTACTCCAGTTGGTAGATTTGCTTGGCTCCTGCCCTCAGATTCTGGCATCTCTTTCCAACCACACATGGGTAGTGCCGATCTTGACCAACATTCTAGCACAACAATACTGCCGGGAGTGTCTGGCCAGAGCCAGCTATCCACTTGGTCTGCTTGCAACCCAAGTGTTTTGGAGTGGGATATTGCAGGAAGTACTGAAAAGAAGTCTTACACAGGAGACTTTACTGTGACTATCCTTGACCAAAAACACCACTGCCTGTGGCAGCTTGCTATGAAAAAACCTTAGATACCAACCACATGGTGTCTCTGTCCCTATCACTTTCTGACAGTCTTGTTGAAAGAACACCATCTCAGGTTCCAAATCAAAGTTATAGCCTGTCACTTCCCTACCAGGAAGGAAGTCAGGTGATTGACTATCATCAGGGCAGTCCAAGACCTCTCTTTTCTGGAGAGGACATCAAGACATGGGTGGAAGATAAACAACTTCCCCAGCTCTTTGATTGCTTAGAAGACCTATGTAAATGCATAGATCTGCAGGGAATGAACACCACGGATACCATCACTCTGAATCAGGGGCAAGAAGACTCAGGTGGCACTAAGGGGAACTCCCACCCAACATGGAAGAACAAAAACCAGGCCTCTGAGCCTCTAGAGGGAGAACCCAAGACCAAAATCCATCCCAAAGTCCCAGAATGCTTGCTAGGGGGAGCAGGGATTCTTTGTAATGCTGCAGTCAGTGATAGGTGTCCTGTGACCATGGCCAAACCCAAGAGCAAACCTAAGAAAGCTGCGTCCAGCAAAATCAGCAAAACCAAGAGCCATGGGCAGGAGAAGACCAAAAAGGCCAGAGAAAACTCCAAGAAAGCTGATGACAATAAGCCGACAGGGAACAAGGTGAAGTCACAAGAGAAGCCCACCATTGCCAGGATGAAATGCAAGTTAAGTCAACCTGAGCTTTGCCAAGAGACCCTTAAAAGGCCCCGGAGCTGCAAGGACATGCACATGCCTGAGTCTGTGCAAGAGTTTGATGCACTGGGGAAGAAGAGGGATCCAAAGCCTGGATCCTCTTCCGCCCTGGCTCCGGGTAGTTCAAAGAAGTCCAAAGATGTCCAGCTCTCCTCAGCTGTGAAACCATTGGCAGGTGCTATAAGGGTTGGAAAAGGTCTTGAGAAAATTCAGGTCAAAGCTCAGAAAACATGCAGCAGTGCGAGAGAACGCTCGTCTACAAACCAGTCTGAGCTGCCACCTCCTGGGAAGGTCAAATTGGTACCTTTGCCTTTTCTTACCATGGGGAAGCCGCAAGCTCGACGTGTTCCTTGAAAACCACAGTCTGACTTCACATCGTCATGCTGCAGCTTACCCTGCCAGGCCTGGCTCTACCAACTCAGCTCGGCTGACTGCCACAAGTTCATCCTGGCCAGCGCCTGCATCTTTGTCACATCCTTCTAGACCAGCTCAGCCCATTTTGACCAACTCATCGCGACCAGCTTTGCTGAGCTCTACTAGCCGGTCTATTTCTCAGCCTGCAACTTCTGGACCTTCTCCCTCCAAGACAACAGCTAGCACTTATCTCCAGCAGGGCCCTCTTCCTGTCTCTGGGACAGAGCGCCAGTCTCCAACCAAACGGCAGAGTCAGTTTCAACTCAAAGACTTCCGTTTCCAACCAATTACACGGAGAAAGCCCAACGTTCCCGAGCCAGTCATGTCAAAGCTCATCACAAAAGAGCAGAGACCAGAGCGTGAGGCTATGAAGAGGAAGGCTCAGCAGGAGCGAGAGAATGCTGCCAAATGCACCACTTTGGGGAAAGTGCAGTTTTTTATCTAGAGAGAAAAAGATATGGACATCTCTCGATTCTATGGCTATAAGTAGCTGGAACGGTTGGTGCCACTTTAAGTACCAGATGGTTGCCTTAGACAAACACCTGAAATGCCATACACATTTCATTTACTCTGATACATTTTTCAAAAAATTAATAGATGCATGTAAGTCAATAGATTAGTAATAAAATTTCTGAATGTTGAGAGGCTTTCCATTGTGGTCTTCATTTGGAGAGGGCGAGCATTGAAGGATCCATGAGAAAGAAGTAGAAGTTAGAGGAGGGATAAAAGGAGAAACTGAGAAGAATCTATGAAAGAGAACCTTGGCTCAGGATTGTAAAGCCCTTAAGAGGAGAAATTTTATGTGTCTGATGAACAGTTGAGGGGGTGGGGCAGAGAAATAATATACATGATAAGGCATTGCAGGAGGCTGACCCAAGATTCATCCCTGGAATTTTATGTGGTCCCAGGAGTTTCACTAGATGTTATCCTTGAGCACAGAGGCAGGAGGAAGCCCTGCGCACAGGCAAGTATGTTTCCATCGCCAGTCTCCCCCAAAAAAGAACGGGAGAAATGGCACAGTTAGAGGGTTTGGTTTAAGATAAAAAATGGAATAGGTTGAAGAACAAGGGTTAGTATATAAAGATAACCTGTTGAGAAGTAAAAACAGTTTCACAGAGGCAGTCTTTATGTTTTATGGCCTCCGGTTTTAAATAAAGAGATTAGAGACATATCTCCAATACGTGATCAGGCTGTGGGATGCTAAGACATACACTGGGGAAAGAACCTACAGATGAACAGTCAACGGCCCTCAGAGTTATTCAGGGGTCACTGTAAAAAGGGACCAAGCAAAGAGAACAGTTGTAGCAAGAACCCCGAAAATCAGCTCTTGGAACATGTAAAGAAAGATCAATCACCATGTACTCAGGCCCGTGGTTCAGCCACCCTAGATGCACTATTTCACTTCATCTTCCCAACAATACTCAGCCAATATTACCGGGGTCTAGGCCAGCATGGTTCAACAATGAGGTGTATCTGATTAAGTTCTTTGCTCCAGCTCCTACTTGTACTTTTTCTTTCATTAAAGTTTCCCCAGAAACCTAAGACAGTTGCTGTAATGCATGCAGGAGGCCCAGGTTCTATCCCTGGCACCACGGCATCGCTTGGGCACCAAGCCAGAGTAGCCCCCAAGTATGCCTGTGTGTGTACCCACTTTTCCCCCAAATGCAAACAACTTTATTGAAATGCAAACGACAATGCCCATAACTTTATGAGATAGGGTGAGGGAGATGATGATTGGAAGGACTGGAGCACTTGCTGGGCACATGAGAGCCCCAGGTATTCGGCATGAGGGCACTGAGGAGCAGCGCAAGCACTACTGGGTCTGCTGCCCCACCCCGCCCAACACACACACACACACACACACACACACACACACACACATACACACACACACACACACAGTGTCTGTCTGAGGAAAATACTAAAACGTAAGATCTCTCTTAGAAGAAAACAACAAAAAACACAAGAAAATACAGACAAACTGCACATCATGAAAATGTTTTAAAATGTGCACCCAAAGATACCATCTACAGAATAAACAGGCACCCCATAAAATGGTAGAAAATATGAATCCCTTAACTACAAAAGCTTGATTTAACAAATGGGCAAAGATAAAATGCAACAACCTTTTGCTAGACTAAGAGAAAAAGATTCAGATAAGTCAGAAATGAAGGTGATGTTACCACTGAAACTAAAAGAAACAAAAAGGCTCATCAGAGATTACATGAACAGTTAAATGACAAGAAATTGACAGTCTTGAGGAATCAGTTAAATGCTACAAACATAACAATGCATCAGGATTGAATCAGAAATAAACAGAAACTACAAACAGACCAATATTGGACTAGTAGGGAGTCATGATCAGTATTCAGAAACCTCCCAACTTTAAAAATAAATGAGGGGGTTGCAGAAAGCTTCATTAGTGAATTCTGTCAAACTTCACAGAAAAATACCTATCCAGTTCTTCTAAGAACATTGAATAGGAGAAAACATTTCCAAGCCTCTTTTCTTTTTTGGTTTTTGGGACTCACCTAATAGTGCTTGGGGCTTACTAATGGCTCTGTGCTAAGGAATTACTCCTAGAGCGATCCCACTTCTAGGTGACCATATGCAGTACCTGGGATTGAACACAGGTCAGCTGCATCCAAGGCAAACACTATCCAGCCCTAGGAGAAATAAACCAGTCACTAGGAGTTGTCAAAATCCTAAAGACAAAGTTGAAATGTGATTGCCAGGGCCCTGGAGAGTGGTGAAAGCCAGAAGAGAGAATTATTGTTTAATAGGTATAGAGTTTCATTTTACAGGATGAAATGGGTCGGGAGGATGGAAGGTGGTATGTTACACAGTCATGCAAATGCATTTAATGCCTCTGGACTATCTGCTTCAAAATGGTTAAGATGAGAAACATTGTAAGGGTCAATAAAGCAGTCAATGGTAACAGCCTGAGGGCTGTAGGGAAAGGGCTCTGGAGGCAAAGAAACCTTGAGGCATTGGTGGAGGGATGCTGACACTGCTCGTGGGCGCAGTGGCAGAACATCATATGGCTGGAACATTAACACTAGGAATACTGTATGTAACTCATGGGGCCACAAAAATGTCAAAAAAAAGTAAATTTTATGTTCGATGCATTTTATCACAAGAAACCTTTAAGTTAAACAAAAAGTAAAACCCTCTCAGCCATACACACACACACACACACACACACACACACACACACACACACACACACAGAGTCATGAATTCAATACTTAGGCATCATCCCTGATCATTAAGGGCTGTAGGAACAGCCCAGCGGTCCCTAAAATGCACACCAGGATGAAGACCCACAGGAAAATACGATCAATCACCATGGCAACATACTTCCAATCATCTTGAATCTGAAAAACAGAAGAGAAAACCGTGAAAGAGGAAAAGATTAAACGTGAAGAAAAAGGTGGAGTTCATGCACAATTCAATCAGCTAATCAATGGCTGAATAAATAGCAGTAGTCCTACATTAAAAAAAAAACATGAAGAAAAAGGCAGTGTACACTTTTTCAATTGTGTGTTTTATGAGCATGTTGCAGTAAAAGTACCTTCTGTCTCCAAGATGCAAGAAACCCTGTGTGTTGTTTTGGGGCCATACCCAGTGATGCTAAGGGCTTACTCCTGGCTCTGCACTCAGAAAACATTCCTGGATGCTTGGGGGACTAAAAGGGATGTCAGACATCGAACCCAGGTCAGCCAAAAGCAAGGCAAGCACCCTCCCCACTATATTATCTCCCGAGCCCAGAATCCCTGTTTTCTAATTAATGTATTCTGAAGAAATCTGTTCTCTTTTTTCTTTCTGCACTACAGAAACAGGTATAGAATACAGAATTTATTGTGCTAAATCTGTTTTCCATGAGAAATTTCTGAAGTGATACCTAATTTATACTTTCTAAAAATTGAATTCCAATTTATATAGTAAAACCAGATCCCTGACTTAAGCATCTGTGGGAGAATTCTGGGTCACTGAAGCATTAACACAAGCCACCATCATTTACCATTGTTTCAAAGCACTGGTTTTGGCCCAGTTTTAGATATTAATTTCCTTTTAACATGTATTCTATAATCTTTCCTACTCTCATCCGCAATGACCAAATTATCATGAGACCAAAGTGTCGTAGAATACTGCATATAATAGACAAGGTTAAAAATCAGAAATAGTTGATAATAAAGAAATAGAAGAAAGAATAAGACTAATTGTATATAATATAGAATAATACGGTTTCAATTTACGCTCTGAATAGGAAGGGAAATGGCATGTTATTTACACTCCTGGACTGCTCAGAAAGCAAGGAAATCCTAATTGAATCGAGGAAGACAGAACCTATGAATCAACTCATTTTGAAGAAATAATCACATAAGAAGGTAGCATGTGATTCAGTAATTTAATTAAGTGCACTGAAATGGGACTGGAAGACCAGAATTTTGATTTCACCATTATGAGTTTGGATAAATGCACCTCTTGGTGACACTAGGAAGTCAGAAGTAAAATTAAAATTATTATGCCATACTGGCCACAAAGCACTTTATTTGGATTCCTCCCTATGGTTTGTAAGCACTGCAGCCTTACCACAGATGTGTCAATCCTCTCCACTCCCCACAAGCTGAAACTCCAGGCTCAAAGGGAAGCAAGGAGCATGGAAAAGCAGACTTGGAGGCAGACTTTGATTTTAATACTAGCTCTGCTCTGCTCTCATTGTAATGAAAATGTGGGTAAATTAGGTGATTGCTTTTGACCTCAACTCCCTCGGCTGGATGTGGTGAAAAGAGTGGCTCAGAGTGGGGCTGGGGCAATGGCACAATGGGTAGGGCGTTTGCCTTGCACGCGGCCGACCCAGGTTCGATTCCCAGCATCCCATATGGTCCCCTGAGCACCGCCAGGAGTAACTCCTGAGTGCAGAGCCAGGAGTAACCCCTGTGCATCGCCGGGTGTGACCCAAAAAGAAAAAAAAAACTACAAGGGGGCTGGAGCGATAGCATAGCAGGTAGGGCGTTTGCCTTGCATACGGCCCACCCAGGTTCAATTCCCAGCATCCCATAGGGTCCCCCGAGCACCGCCAGGAGTAATTCCTGAGTGAAGAGTCAGGAGTAACCCCTGTGCATTGCCGGGTGTGATCCAACAAGCAAAAAAAGAGTGGCTTGGAATGCTATTGGGTTTTGTTTTGTGGCTAAACCTGGTAGTGCTCAGAGCTTATTCCTGGTTCTGCTTTTAGAAGTCACTCCTGGTGGTGCTTGGGGGACCATATGGGATGCCAAGGATCAAATCTGGGTCGACCGTGTGGAAAGCAATGCCCTACAGGTTGTACTAACGCTCCAGCCCCTCAGAGGGCTATATGAGACCGAAATGAAGCCAGTGCTTGTAGAGTCTATATTGATGAGAACCTTTGCTATTAATGTCTATTTGGTTTGGGGACCACACACGACAGTGCTCAGTATTTAATCCCGGCTCTGTGCTCAGGCAAGGAGAGTGAGAAAGACAGAAAACTGATAGATAGGGAGAAGAGAAGTAAATGGGTATCAGCCAGGAATGGCTACTAAAAGTAAGCAGGCTGGGAGTAGGCGGGCTGTGGGCCAGTTTCTGCTGCCTCAGTCACCCGCCCCCACCCCATCTCCAATGGCCCCCATTCCCCGTGATTCCAGCTGAGCAGAGGCCAGCGCTGACTGCCCCTGAGATAAACCAGGCATTGCCACTGCTCTGCCATGCACCCCCCCACCTCTTCCAGGTAAGGCAAGCCCCTCACCCACTGTACTGTCTCTCCACCCACCCCATCCCACCCCACACACTGATTTTTTCTTGATGAGAAAAAAGAAAACAACAGCCAAAAAATGTGTTTGGTTTTGGTTCACACCTGGAGATGCTCAGGGCTTGCTTCAGGCTGTGCTGGAGAACACTTGTGTGGGGCTCAGGGGAATCTGGGTTGGTTGTGTGCAAAGCCCTACCCACTACACTGGTTCTCCAACCTTAGAAATGTTTAGTTGGCTTTTTTTTCTTTTTGGGTCACACCCGGCAATGCACAGGGGTTACCCTGGCTCATGCACTCAGGAACTACTCCTGGCAGTGCTTGGGGAACCCTATGGGATGCTGGGAATCGAACCCAGGTCAGCTACGTTCAAGGCAAGCGCCCTACCCGCTGTGCTATCGCTCCAGCCCCCGTTACTTAGTTTTTTATTGATGCATCATGGTTAAATACTACTGAAGTTACCATTTTACAGTAAATTTTTTTCTTAATGTCTGTCTCCATACCTGTCAGAGTGCCTTGGAAACTCGATAACATCTTGTGTAGTGCCTTGCTGGTAGTTTTTGGAGTAAAGATCATGTCCAGTAGCCTGGCCCAAAGGCCAGACTGTGTACTTAGATCTTGGTCTTCAGTAGATTATTGCTAACATAAATCATTTAATAGTAGATAAAGAAAGTCAAGAATGGTTTTACTCAAGGCATTAGAGTCAGACACCAGGGATGTTCCACTCATTACTTGCTTCGGGTCCAACAATTGCTTCAGCTGAGTTTTTTGAAAGGGGGTTTCTTGCAAGCAGTCACTGGGGACCACTCCCCATGATAGTTAACCATCAGGCCTGAGGGTTTAATACTTGAGCTCAGCTGTGCTGGAGGCCACCAGGGTCCCACCTGAAAAGGCTGGGGTGGGGGGAGTGGCATGCAGTGTGTGTGTGTGTGTGTGTGTGTGTGTGTGTGTGTGTGTGTGTGTGTGTATAGCGGGGTCGGGGGAGTTGAACTTGGCATCTTGCACATGTCCAGCCTTCTCTGCTGACCCCAGTAACACTGGCTACCCTACTCCGACCACATGGAACACAGGACTGACTTTTCAGCTAAATTACGGGGAGCAGCAGGAGATGTGGTTTTTTTGTTTTTTTTGGGGGGGGTCACACCCATCGATGCACAAGGGTTACTCCTGGCTCACGCATTCAGGAATCACTCCTGATGGTGGTGCTTGGGGGACCATATGGGATGCTGGGAATCGAACGCAAGTTGGCTGCGTGCAAGGCAAACGCCCTACCTGCTGTGCTATCACTCCAGCCCCAGGAGTTGTGTTATGACCGTCACAAGACATGCTCAGGGCCGCTGGGAGAGCTCAGCTGTTTCTGCCCCCCCCCCCACCTCATACTAGATGCATTCGCAGGTGAATAAAGGAGGCACCCGACTTGCCCATCAACATTAATTACCTCCAGCATATCAGGAGCTGACATTATCTGGCAAGTAGCTCTGTGCTAATTACCAAGTTAAGATGGAGCCAATTAATCCTACAGCAGATCTCGTTATGAAATTACCGAGCTTGGTTCTGGTAACCCCGGGGGAAGGAAACAAGGTTGGGGATGCTGCTGGAGGTGGGGATCAACTCCCCCTGTTCTCACTACTGGACATTAGTTCTCACACCAGTGTGGGGGAGGGAACAGAGGTCACCCAACTTGAAAACTGGGTGAGCGAATGTGAATAGAGGCAACGTGAAAGATGTTGGAATGTCCAGGAAACACATGGACAAGAACCCTAGCCATGACAGCAGAGGAACTTGCTCATTAAAAGAGTATGAAATTGGGGCTGGATAGTACGGGGAGGGGGGGTTGCCTTGTATGCATCCCACCCGGGTTCGATTCCCAGCATCCCATATGGTCCCCTGAGCACCAACAGGGGTAATTCCTGAGTGCAGAGCCAGGAGTGACCCGTGTGCATCGCTGGGTGTGACCCAAAAAGCAAAAAAAAAAAAAAAAGTATGGCGTTTCCTCTACACACATTCTGGCAAGGCTGTAAAGGCACCAGAATTCTCAAACGTCCTTGCTGGTGGTGTGAACAGCAACTGATTCAAACACTTGAGAAACTTGAGAGTATTCATTAAAGTTAAAACGCATCTCTCTGGGCCAGGCTGGAGTGAGAACATAATGGGCAGGGCGCTTGCCTTGCACAAGACTGACCAGGGTTGGATCCCCAGCATCCCATATGGTTCTCCAACCCCATCGGGACTGATTCTTGAACACAGAGCTAGGAGTAACCCCTGAGTATCGCTGGGTGTGACAAAAAAAAACAAAACAAAATTTTTAATTTAAAAATTAATTTTAAAAAAGGGTGTCTGTGTCTTTCCAGGCTGGAAAGGGTCACAGCTTTCCAGGAGGGTGAGGGCTGTCATCCGGAAGGAGACAGTAAGTTTTTGAGGTGCTGGAACTCTGCTCTCTCTTTACTTGGGACATAGCTATAGGAGTATACATGTAACGTAAAAACTCAGTGAGCTGGGGCTGGAGCGATAGCACAGCGGGTAGGGTGTTTGACTTGCACGCAGCCAACACGGCCAACCCTGGTTCGATTCCCAGCATCCCATATGGTCCCCCGAGCACCGCCAGGAGTGATTCCTGAGTACATGAGCCAGGAGTAACCCCTGAGTGTCGCTGGGTGTGACCAAAAAAGCAAAATAAATAAATAAATAAAAATAAAAACCCCAATGGTTGTGATAATAAAACAATCTTTAAAAAAAAAAACTCAGTGAGCTGTACCCAAAAAAAGCACGCTGTACATTACTCCTGAAGGGGAGTGGGGACACAATTAGTAAAATTTGACATGTGAACTCATTACTGGTAGTGGAGTACACTAACTTTGTATACTAATGCCACAAATTACTGTCCCTGTGTCACCCATGCCACAATCAACTCAAGCTGACCAGCACTGTAGCACTATCACACTGTCCTCCCGTTGTTCATCGATTTGCTCGAGCAGGCACCAGTAACATCTCTATTGTGAGACTTGTTTCTGATTTTGGCATCTCGAATACGCCGCGGGGAGCTTGCCAGGCTCTGCTGTGCGGGAGGCATACTCTCGGTAGCTTGCCGAGCTCTCTGAGAGGATCAGAGGAATTGAACCCGGGTTGGCCGCATACAAGGCAAACGCCCTACCCACTGTGCTATCACTCTGGCCTTGTGCTAGCTCTCCGCCCACTCAAGCACACAGACAAAAATATTATTATTATAAATTCCAAAAGTAAATAAAATTCACATTTTATTTCAAGGGGCCAGGGCAATAGTATAAGGGGGCTCGTTTTGCATGTGGTCAACCTGGGTTCAATCGTATATGATCCCTTGAGCACCACTGGGAGCAAATCCTGAGCACAGAGCCAGGAGTATCCCCTAAGCCCTGCTGGATGTGGCCCAAAACCAAAAACAAAATGTCGATTCAGGGGCTGGAGAGAGAGTTCAACAGACTGGGTAAGTGCTTTGCATGCAGGACGCCTGGGTTTTATCCCTGGCACTGCATAGTCCTTAGAGCACCAGGAGCAACCCCTGGCCCCCAGGAATGGGCCGGGAGTAGGCCCCAGACCACTGTCAGGTGTGGCCCGAAACCAATAATAAATAAAAATAATAAGTAGACACAGCTGAGGGGCTGGAGCAATAGCATAGCAGGTAGGGCGTTTGCCTTGCACATGGTCCACCTAGGTTCAATTCTCAGCATCCCATATGGTCCCCTCAGCACTGCCAGGAGTAATTCCTGAGTGCAAATCCAGGAGTAATCCTTGTGCATTGCCGGGTATGACCCAAAAAGCCAAAAAAAAAAAAAAAAAAAGTAGACTCAGCCGATCAGTCCTAACTGGAAGACAATTCTGTCTCCATCCTTTTCCAGTCATTCTCTCGGCCCTCCCTCTATTTCTCCTGCCATCAGTGTTCCAGAGATGCCAATGCAGGCAGCCTGGGAGCTCAGTGGTGCTCACAAGCTTTACCATCACACCTAACAGGCATTGTAACCAGCTCAGGGAACTAGAGGGGATGGTCTTGCACTCCAGGGTTGACGTCCCGTCTCCCTGCCCCACCTGTCCCACTAGCATTGGCGGAAGGACTCACGGAGCCCTGCAGCATGCCCTCACCTCTCTGGCTTCATTCTGTGCTCTCATGTTTTCGGCGATATACCGGACACTCTGGATGGCCTCTCTGATCTCCGGCGACAGGGCTGAGAGGGATAGCATGGCCTCCAGGGACTCGGAGCTGTTGCTCCGTTTCAGGTTGGCACTGAAATTGGAGATCTTGACCTTGCGGGGCTGTAGGCAGGAGCCGCACAGTCCGTCCCGGCAGTGGGAACCCTCCAGGCAGCCTGGGGGGGCCTCGGGCCGGCGGAAGCAGTTCAGGTTGGAGAGCTCGGCACCCTGCACGGCTTTGGGCTTCTGTGCCAGGGGTTCCTCATTGCCGGCCGGCCTGGTCATGAACATGACCCTGGGGAGCAAGTCCAGGAAGATGGCCTTCACCCAGGTGGGCATGGTGTGTGTGGTGGGCGTGCGGTAGTGGACGTTGAGCACAAACACGGTGATGACGATGGACAGGGTGACGAAGATCATGGTGAACAGGAGGTACTCGCCGATCAGGGGGATGACCAGCGAGGTGGACGGGATGGTCTCAGTGATGACCAGAAGGAAGACGGTCAGGGAGAGCAGCACGGAGATGCAGAGGGTCACCTTCTCACCGCAGTCGGAGGGCAGGTAGAATACCAGCACGGTCAGGAAGGAGATGAGGAGGCAGGGAATGATGAGGTTGATGGTATAGAACAGGGGCAGGCGGCGGATGTAGAGCGAGTAGGTGATGTCGGTGTAGATCTCCTCACAGCAGTTGTACTTGATGTCGTGCTTGTAGCCCGGGGCCTTGATGATGGCCCACTCGCCGCTCTCCCAGTAGTCCTTGAGGTTCATGGAGGAGCCGATCAGCACCAGGTCGATCTTGGCCTTGTCATAGGACCAGGAGCCGAACTTCATGGTGCAGTTTTGGTAATCGAAGGGGAAGTAGGTCACGTCGATTTTGCATGAGCTCTTGAAGATGGCCGGGGGGATCCACGTCACTTCTCCTGTGTACTTGAGTAGAGCCTTGGTCTTGTCGTCCACCTGGAAGTCCCCAACGGCGCTGTAAAGACAAAGAGGCCATGTGATAGCCCCAGAGCTCCGAAGCAGAGGTACTCGATCCAGCTCACGCCAACAGGAGGCAGAGGACAAGGGATAATGAGTGAAACGGGGGACGAGGGGACTCAACGCTCACAAAGGGGACCCGACTGGCCACCTGTTTCCCTCCCAACAAAGGGACACACTCATCATCCCCAACTCCAGCCCATCCAACTATCCCAGGCACATTCCTAGCTCATTCCACAGTACCCAGTTCCCTATCCATACCTACAGAGACGTCTTTGAGAGCAAACTAATGCAGGCCAGAGAGATAGCTCAGTGAGCACACGCTCTACATGCAGGAAGTCCAGGTTCAATTCTTGGTACCACACGGTCCTCTGAGCATTATAGGGAGTGACCCCCAAACACCCAACCAAAACTAGTAAATCAATAAACATGATTATCCTAGAGGCATTTTTTGGGTTTGTTTTCTTGGGTCACATCTGGAGGTGCTCAGGGCTCCAACCCAGGTCAGCCACATGCGAGGCAAGCGCCTGGCCCACCGTCCTATCTCTCTGTCCACTATAAATACGTTTTCACCAGCACACACAACCATGTCTGACTGAGGTCTACAGTCAACAGCTGTGTCTGCGCCTCAAATGCAGAGCTGAGTAGCTGCGTCAGCAGCAAAGCCAAAGTCATTTACTTCCAAGCCCTTTTCCAAGAGAAGAATTCCATCCCTCACTCTCTTCCATGTCCTAGCATTTCATGGACAAGGAAGCCACAGGTCAGGGTGTGACCAGGTTGACCTGCTCAGGGGCCAAAGAGAGTGGGGGGCAGAACCCAGGTCAGTCAGAAGCAGGTTCAGGAAGAAAAGCCAAACAGAGTGTGGTGAGCCTCATTCCCATGACTGGGCACTGCCACTGCCCGTACTGTGCTGACAGAGTTCAGGGTTACTCCCTGGCCCAGAGAGAGATGCTGAGGGAGACCAGTCAGAAAGAGCGAGTAAGTATACAGTCAATATTTATTGACTGAAAAAATCAACAATGACCTTACTTCCCAGGGCCCGAGGGACTGGTCCGAGAGATCTGAGGGGCAGCTGAGATGGGGAGTCTGGGCAAGTTGAACGATTTCTGAGAGAACAGACCAGGTGGGCACAGAAGCTGAGCTCAGGTGGTGCCTTGCCAGAAGGAATGGAAAGAGCTTCAAGACGGATGAGAACTTCAAGAGCTTCATGATGACAATGGGGTGTTTGATCTCCCTGAATTCCCTCAGGAAGCCAGGGCAACGATGACAGCAAAAGAAAAAAAAACAGAGAGTAGTTACAGGAATCCCCAGAACCACAGACCATGAGAGTGTGGAGTGGAACCCCGCCTGGCCCTTCCCCATGGCACCCTGAAGAACAGGGTGGGTAGGAAGCTGAGGGAAGTCTCAGGTTCCAAGAGCCTCCAACAGCGAAATCCCCAAGAATGACCTGGGCCTCAGGGCCGGAGCAGTAGTACAGTGGGGAGGGCATTTGCCTTTCCCGTGGCCAACTGAGGTTCAATCCCCAGCACCCCATATGATCCCCTGAGCACTGCCAGGAGTAATTCCCGAGTGCAGAACCAGGAATCTCTCAGTCTTGGTGGATGTGCACCAAAGGCAAAAGAGAGAGAGAGAGAGAGAGAGAGAGAGAGAGAGAGAGAGAGAGAGAGAGAGAGAGAGAAATTCAGACATTCAGACATCTTTTGAAACCATGGGAAAACAGCAGAAAGAGGAAAATTAAGAAACAACTTGGCTAAAGTCCAGAAAATGAAATAAAGAATGGAGAAAATTTAGGAGAGAAAATCATTTTAGACATAAAGCTAAACTAGAAGCAGAAGGACATACACCAGGGAAAGCACAGTGATGAAAATAAAAGCCAGGGGATGCGATTTCTAAAATATTCATTTGAGAAGACATAATATAGACAGAAAATAGGTAAAGAAGTTCCAGCAGGGGCCAGAAGGCAACTGGAAAGAAAAATCTGAACAATGGAGTGGAATGAATCTTAAAAATCTGTGATTCAGAAAACAAAATTCGTCTGGAATATAGGAAGATACAGTGCAGGGTAAAATAACTACACTGCAATATCAAAGATATATGTATATATTCTTCTGAAAGGGGCTGGAGCATTTGCATCCAATGTGGAGCATTTGCTGTATCTTTCAGCCTTGTTTTAAAAAAAAAATCACACATCCAGAAGCACTCCAGCTGTTCTCCAACAGTGGCTGAAGTATTTGCCTTGTGTGGGGCTGACCTGGGTTCAATCCCTGGCACCCCAGATGATCCCCTGAGCATAGCCAGGAATGATTCCTGAGCACAGAGCCAGGAGTAATCCCTGAGCATTGCTGGGTATGTCCCCTCTTCCCCTAAAAATCCTTTTGCTTGCCCGAGAGCAGAAAATGATCCTCTCAGATATGCTGATGCACAGGCTCCTGAGTGGGACAGTGCTGTGTGACATCAGCAAGCCCACACCTCACAGCCCCACACTTCCCCAGACAAAAGGAAAATCAGCTCAGTGCCATATTTTAACAGCAACATCTTTCACCAGAACACATGGAGTCACGGGTAGGCAACAGAATCTCAGAACTGGACTCTGGAACTGGGCTCACAGTGGCAGTGAGATGTGGGGAGCCCGGGGTTATAGAGGGCGGGGGATGGAGGGGGACCCTGAGACAGTGGTGGAAGGAAATTAACACTCTGGTCGGGGTCGTTGGGGGGAGGGGGTTCAGTATTAGAATGTTGTATTCATGAAACCTTATCACGGAGAGAACTGTAAACCTGTAAATCACAGTGACAAAAATAACTGTCATGGATGGAGTCAATAACCAAGGATTTTATAACCACATCAGGGACCCAAACGTGTTATCTAAAGGAGCTACAAGGCATCAGGAACTTGTGAAAACTTGTGATATATCATGCTCATGAGCTGTTTCCAAGGATTCCATTAGAGAACAAACTTCAGAAAACAACTCCCCTCCCCACTCCCACTAGCCACATACACACACACACACACTCACAACCACAATCACAGGAGAAACTTTGGCATAGTGCTTCTAGCATGTTAAAATCAAGAGAACCTTGGACGGAGGTCCAGTCCTGAGAAAATGAAGCTTGAATGAGGCCGGAGAAGCTGGATGAATCCCCCTAAAGATGCTTTCTGGACTTATTCCAAGGAGATTCCTTATGCTATCTACACCTCTCCACATCCAATTTGGAGCATTTGCTGTGTCTTTCAGCCTTGTTTAAAAATATCACACATCCAGAAGCACTCCAGCTGTTCTCCAAAGACTGCCAGCAAGAGAACAGCTATAAAATTCCAACCAGGAGATGAAAATGTGGATCCAAGTTCCTTACTCAGAACATCTCTCCAGCCTGAGAGGATCTGGGCCAGGAGATTTCTAGGACAGCTCCTTTTCTGCAAACCAGTGCAGCTCATTCTGCATCCCAGTTTCTCAGAGACCACTTTACACATAGAAGTTGCAGGAGGGACTGGAGTACAGTCAGTAGGGTGGTTGCCTTGAGTGCAGCTGACCTGGGTTGGATCCCTGGCATCCCCAAGGACCACCAGGAATAATTCCTGAGGACAGAGCATTGCCAGGTGTGGCCCCCCAAAAACTACAACAACAAAAATTGCATGGGACTTGAGGCTAGAGAAATAGTACAGTAGGCAGGCACCTGGCTTTCCTGAGGCCAACTGGGTTCAGTCCCCAGCAGTCCATATGGTCTCTTGAGCCCTGGAAAGAGTGGTCCCTGAGCACAAAGCCAGTAGTAAGCCCCAAGCACTTCCAGGTGTGGCCCAAAAACAAAAAGAAAAAATTGCATAAAACATTTATGAATGCTGCATTTCCTTGGGAAAATGGCAAACAAAACTCAGATTGTCATGGGCATAGTTAAAGAGGAGTTATCCAAAACCAGTTTCTCCAATCCTAGTACAGCATCAAAACCTAAACTCAGAATCACTGTCTTCCCGTTGTTCATCGATTTGCTCGAGCGGGCCCAGTAACGTCTTCATTGGAGACTTTGTTGTTACTGTGTTTGGCATATCGAATACATCATAGGTAACTTGCCAGGCTCTGCCTGCGGGCGAGATACTCTCAGTAGCTTGCTGGGCTCTCCCAGAGGGGCAGAGGAATCGAACTCAGGTTGGCCATGTTGGCTGCGTGCAAGGGCAAACGTCCTACCGCTGTGCTATCGCTCCAGCCCAAACTCAGAATACTTTTACTTATTCAAAGCAGATTGGGCTTTTTAAAGAGGTGTGAAATCCCTCAAACACAGATAAGCATGTATACCTATCCTCCCTCAATTCAAAATCAGATCAAACAATTCTATGTTAAGTATTTTTGCTAATAAAAGGAAAATACGATAACATATTGAAAAAGGAAAAAAAAACCCACAGGGGCAAAAATGAAGCCTTTCAGCATCCAGGGGACAAGTTAGTTCACATCACGAAGGATCAATCAATGGCCAGAGATGTGGCTCAGCCACAGAGCACTTGACTCGCATGTATGGGGCCCTGGTTCAGTTCCTGGTACTGCATGATGCCCCCGAGCACCAGAGAAAGTGCCCCTGAGCACCAACAGATGTAGCCCCCAAACCCAAACTGACAGCAGGTATGCTGGGAGCACAGCTGTGCAGGGTGGGGCAGGAAGTAGTGTAGCCAGAGGCTACAATCAATCGGAGGGGGAATGGTTGGTCCCTAACTTCCCGCCTGGCAGGTCTGGGTGAAGATGAGAGCCCACACCTTCCTCCAGGTCCTCACTGCGTGCTTGTATGTTCTCTGGGAAGGCTGCCTTACCCAGGGGAGTGGGAAACCAGGGGAATCAGGGGTCTGTCTGTGTGGTGCATCCCTCTGCCCCTAGCCACTGGCCTGTAACAGATGTGCCACCAAATAAAACCTGCATATCAGAAGTCTAAGGACGGTCTGGCTCTCTGCATCCCTGGGGAAAGACCCTAGGCCCTGGTGCCAGTCCCAAGCCCACGCCCAGACCTTACTTGTTGTACAGCACAATGTCGGGCTTCCAGATCTTCTGCGCGGGCACGCGCATGAACTCTGCCCCATCGTAGTCAGCGGGGTTCCACTTCAGCTTGTAGTCATTCCAGATCTGCAGGCATTAAAGGACTGGGGCTGTGCCTCTGCTGCCGTCCACCCCGCTGCCCTGAAGCCCCCCAGTACCATAAACCAACCCTTCCCTGCTGCACCCCACCACAACAATGGCCTTTGACTCTGGTTCCAGGATGAAGTTTTGACAAGAGGAAGGGAAGAAGGAGGTGTCAGGGGAGTCCCTCGAATGTGCTCAGGGCTCCAAGCCCAAGCTGGGATGACAGAAAAGGTTTTTCCTGGGCTGGGGAGTTCAGCTGGTCAGGTGCTTTTTGCCTTGCATGAAGCTGACCCCGGCTTGATCCCTGGTACCCCGTATGGTCTCCTGAGTAACACCAGAAGTGATCCCTGAGCACAGACCCAGGAGTAGCCCCTAAGCACAGCTACATGTGGCCCAATCTCTCATGCCTCCCCCGACCCTCACCCCCCACCCCCCAAAAGAAAAGCAGCGCATGCAAACCTGAGAAGGAAGAGAATCCTGCTTGATTTACCAACAGCAAATAAAGTTATAGCCACCAGGGGGCAGCAGTGCTCAGACCTGGTCACTTACTTGCTTGAGCCACAGGTTGGTCTCCATGATCTGGTTCACTTCATCCTAGAGAGATTCAAGCCGATGGTGAGAGACAAAGACAGGGCTGGGTTTGGGTAAGGCACTTCCAGGAGCCCCTGTACCCCGAGGCCACAGCTACTGGCTCTGGCACTTACCACCTTCACTAGCTGTGACATGGACACCTCGAACTGGATGATGACTGGGTCAGACACGTTGGCCACGGGCCGGATGATCTCATTGTAGTCTTCGAAGAGCCTCTCGAATAGCCGATACTCGGCATCTGAGGCGCTGGCCACTGGGGGGAGAGACCGGTGGGACTTGGGTGCCATGGGGACCAAACTTGCATGCACCTGTAGCGCTCTGCATCTGCAGTCTGGGGGCCCAGACTTGCAGAGTACCTGGGAGACCCCAGGCTTGCAGACCAGCCCCCTTGCTATCACAGATTGAGACTCGGGCCCCAGGGTGAGGCAGCCCAGTGGCTCCCTCCCGTTCAGAAGTCCGAGCCTGGGCTCTGGGTCTGGAAAGATCTCACGGAGCCAGGCTGCCAACCTGCCAACGAAGCTGGCACCTGGTCTTGGCTCTGCCTGCCCCTCCCAGGGCTGCTGCCGAAGGACCATTCAGTGCTGGGAGGACCCCTGCGGTGTTTATAGTGGACGGATGGCCAGTGGGGGGGGGCGTTTGCTTTGATTCTTCACCTGTTGGGGACCGCACCCCAGGCTCGAGACTCTCCTTTCCTCCCAGGAACCTGTAAGGGTCTGGCCACTGACCCGCTTGGAAGCCGGACTCGACCGGGCTCCCCTGCCCTCGGAGTGTGGTCCTGGCTCCTGCTGGTGCGGCCGCACATCCTGATCCAAAAAGCGCCTCCCCTCTCGGGAAGCCCCTCTCCTCCCCCACGCCGCCCCCCGGGCATCTTGAGGCAGCGGCTTCCCACTTCGGAGTCTGGGGGCCACGGGGCGGGGAGGAGGGGAGTCCTTGGTGCAGCCCAACCTAGATCTCGAGACACCGAGATGGCCTCTTGCCTGCTCGCTCCCAGATCTTCTGGCGCGCGGGCGGCGGGACGGAGACGCGGTGGGCCCGGCCGGATGCGCTCGGCCGCCGCGGGGGTCTCAGGGCCGCTCGCGCGCGGGGACGCGGGCAGGAAGCCCGGGGCAGGGGGGCGGGGAGGCGGGGTAGAGGGCACCCCCCGCCCCGGCTCGACTACCCTCCCCCGGGGGGTCTTGGGCCAGCCATTAGCCCGCTCTGGCCTCAGTTTCCCCACCTGCTCCTAAGGAGGCAGGCGGCATGTAGCCCGAAGGCTCGGGCGCACCTGTCCGGCGGCACCCAGGACGGATGACAGGGCGCAGGCTCGAGGCGCCTGGGAGCGAACGGAAGGACCGGGTCCGAGCTCTCCAGCCGCGCCCTGCGGACGGTCCGACCGGACGAGGGGAACTCGGCGCCCCCTCCCCCTGCCAGCCCTGCACAGCCCGCTCCCCGCGGGCCCGGAGCCAGAGCACGGGGCTCCGAGCCTGCGGCCCCGCTGCTCGTACCTGGCAGCAGCAGCGGCGGCAGCAGCAGCAGCAGCAGCAGCGAAGGCATCGCGGCGCGGGCTCGGAGGCGGCGGGGCGCGGCGCGGGGAGCAGAGCGCGGCTGCCGGGACCCGCTCGCCGCTCCCGGCTTTGGGCGCCACGCCCACTCGGGGCGTGGCCAGGGCTGGTGGGCGTGGCCTCTTCGATCCCCACCAATCGTGGGAGCCCCTTCGCCACGCCCCAAACTGGGCGGGGCCTGCTGGCGGAGGCGCTGGAAGGGCCCTGTAACCCCAGGGGACAGTCCCCCACCTGGCTCCTGTGGCCCGCGCCAGCGCACAGCCCAGCGGGGCCCGAGAGGAAGAGGGGAGGGAGAGGGCGACACTCTGTCGCTGGCGTCCTGGCGAGTGCCCGGTGGACCTCCGGACTGGGGACCGCTAAGCCGAATGGTCACTAGTCCCCCAGAAGGCACCAACGTCCCCTCAAAGAGAGAGACCTTAAGCTTTCCAGGCTGTAGGTGCTTGCCAAGTGATTCTTAATGAAGTTTCTTAATGAAGGGCAGGTGAATTGTCTTTATTAACCCATGTTAAAAGTCCTCTAGACAAAGGGAGAGATTTTGCAGGAGCCAGAAGTATAAGAATTGGGATTTACCCGGGGCCCCTGTTAAGAGCGTTCTCATTCTCCTGAATTTGTTGATTTGGTCACTTTTTTTTCGGGGGAGGGTGTTTGGGTCACGCCTGGGGTGGTGCTGGGGATTGAATCCTGCCCGGCCTGGTGATGTGCAAGGCAAGCTTCTTGCCCCTAATCCACCAAACATAGTCTTTTCCGTTCGTTTTCCTTAGTTTAAAAAGGAATATAACCCAAAAGGAGAGAGTAAAAGGGAATGTGCCTGTCACAGAGAAGAGTGGTGATGGAATGGAATGGGGCAGGAGGGATACTGGGAACATTGGAGGTGGAGAATGGGCACTGTGGAAGGATGGGTACTGGATCGTTGTATGACTGAAACGTAATCATGAAAATTCCTAAGTCTGTAACTAGCTCACGGTGATTCATTAAAAAATACAATTTAAAAAAGTGATGTAAGTCTCTAGTATCCAGAACATATGAAGAATCCTCAAAGAGCTAAAACCCTCAAACATAATTCCTGTAACTGAAAAAAGGGGATACACTTACTGAAGCTTACTACATTGTTCATTAAGTATGAATGAATTTGGGGCCAGGGAAAGAACACAGAAGCAAGACACTTTGCTTACACGCAGCTGTGAACACGAATCCCGTGCAAATTCCCAGCATCGTATATGACCTCCTAAGCATGGCCAGGCATGGCCCCTGAGCAACTCTGGGTTACCAAAATTAACAAAATGAAGGAAATTAATAGCTGGTGATGTGGCTCAAGTGGCAGAGCACCTGGTTAGAAGGCTCTGGGTTTGATCCCTGGCACACATCGCCATTGTTGCCCCCGGCCCCAACAGTGACGACTGTGCCCCTGCTGGACTGAGCACAGCACTGTCAGGAATGCCCCCTGTCAAAATGGAAATATTACGATACGTACATTGTATCTTAGTAAAATAGTCCTGAAGAAATCAAGAATTCAAAATTTAGTAAGAAAAGTAAACCCGAGTTTAGGGGCTGGAGCGATAACACAGCTGGTAGGGCGTTTGCGTTGCTGGGTTCGATTCCCAGCATCCCATATGGTCCCCTGAGCACCGCCAGGGGTAATTCCTGAGTGCAGAGCCAGGAGGAACCCCTGAGCAACGCTGGATGTTACCCAAAAACCAAAAAAAAAAAAAAAAGTAAACTCAGTTTAGTAAAAACAGGCAAGGGGCTGGAGCAATTGCACAGCAGGGCTAGGGCGTTTGCCTTGCATGCAGCTGACCTGACTCTGATTCCCAGAATGCCGTATGGTCCCAAGCACCACCAGGAGTAATTCCTGAGTGTATGAGCCAGGAGTAACCCCTGTGCATCGCCGGGTGTGGCCCAAAAAGAAAAAAGAAACCTATAAAAAATTTCAAAAAAAGGTAAAAGAGGACTGAAGAGATAGGTCAATGATGTGAGTTCATGCTTTGCATGCAGGAGGCCTGGCTTGATCCCCAACATTGCATGGTCCCCCAAGCCCCGGAAACAAACAAAAAGAGCAAGAGTTAAGGAAGCCTTTTATCAACAAAGGCCAAAGGCACATGAAGAGACAGCCAATGTTACTACCCATGAGGGAGAAGCAATTTTTTTTTAAATTTTTATTAGTGAAACACCATGAGGTACAGTTGTAGACTTACAAATTTTTGTGCTTGGGTTTCAGTTATACAATGATTGAGTACCCATCCCTCTACCAGTGCCCATTCTCCACCACCAATGATCGGGAGAAGCAAATTAAAACCTGAATGATACACCGTTTCACATCCATGCAGATGGCTAAAACAAAAGTCTGCCAATCCCAAGTTTAGATAGGAAAAGAGCAGGGGCTCTCATACTTTGCTAGTGGGAAGGTCCAAAGGAATGGCAGCTGGAGATACAGCTTTGACAACTTCACACAAAGTGAACTGTGTACCCCTTAGCCCCCAGCAACCACACTCCTATTGATCTTGAGAAATGGGAGCTTTTGGCCACACAAAATCCTGTCCATGAATGCGTAGAGTAACAAGTCATAACTACCCCAAACTAGTAACTTCCTAAATGTGAAATCCTGCCCAGGAAGAGAGAAAACAGCTCAGTGCCTCCAACGGTGTGGCCGATCTCAAAAGCATTCTGCTCTGATTGCAGTCATTTGAGGGATATTTAAAAAAAAAAACATAGTATAAGACTAATACCCAAGGACAGTAGAAACATGGGCCAGGAGGTTTGGTTAACAGTTGGAAACCTGCCTCAGATGCTGGGGGAAATAGATAAGATAGAGAAGGAACCATTATGTCAGTGATAGTTGGAAATGATCACTCTGGATTAAGAATTGTGTGCTGAAAATAGGCAAAGGGACAAACATGAAAACCTTTCAGTATGTGCACTGCAAACCATAATGTCCAAAAGGAAAGAGAAAGAAAAGTGCCTGTCACTGAAGCAGGCTGGGGGGAGAGGTGGAAGGAGGGAAGCTGGGGACATTGGTGGTGGGAAATGTACACTGGTGGAGGGATGGGTGTTGGAACAGTGTATGACTGAAACCCGATCATGATCAGCTTTGTAACTATGTACCTCATGGTGATTCAATTTAACAAAAAATAAAAAAACATTCTGCTTAGAGAAAGAGACAACTCTCAGAAATTATTTTAAATGATTTTATTTTAAAGCATTCTTGACAGATAGGGATGTTTGAGTGTTTGATGCTCATTGTCTGAGGCTTGGGTTCTATCCCTGGCACTGTAAAATTGGGGTGTGGGGGGGGGGAGGAGGGTCAATCTGAAAAGACCAAATAGAAAAAGAGTAGAAGTAGTTTCCAGGGTGTGGGGGGAGGGGGTGGTCGAGGGATGACGGGATATTGGGTACAGCTACTTCTGATCACATGACATGAACTGAAATTCACGAGGCTGTATATCAAGTCAATTTCATTGTAGGGTTATTTCAAAAACAGAATGGGGGGTAGGGGGAAATGTCTTTCAGCATTCCACAAATACTCTGCGTGGCTACTACAGGCTGGGCACAGTGCATGGGGCAGTCAGGGAAGCTACGAGATGAGGAAGGTGAGCTGGGTGACCTCAAACAGGAGGCGCTGACCAATGTAGAGCTGGGGGAGGTCGGGGAGCAGGGCTGGTTGTTCAGAGGGGCATCCCAGTTGGAAGAGGAAGAGGAGCCGCTTGTTGAGCAAACATTTATTGAGTTCCCACTGTGTGCCGAGCAAGCACTGTGTTCCCACTTCGTGCCGAGCCCTGTCCAGGCCCTAGGCGGCTGCTGCACACAGCAGGATAAGGATCCTGGCTCTCCCCCTGGGTATGAGGCCAGTGCACACCCTCCCCCCCCACCACCACCACCCAGGAAGAAGAGCTGCAGGTGTGGAGGAGCACAGGAAAGGTGGCACGCGAAGAAGGCTCTAGAAGAGATGATGGGGACAGTCACCCAGGAGAGCGGGCATGGCATGATGGGGGGCCTGAGCAGGACCCCAGGGAGGCAGTGTCAGGAGAAGCGTGGGGCGGGGGCGGGGGCGGGGTGGGGGGGTGGGGAAGGTCAGCAGATGTGAAGGCTGGGGGCTGAAAGGGGGAGGGGAGCGGCGTCCTGAGGAGGGGTTGAGAGGTAGGCCAGCTCGCGGTGGGTGCTGCCCTCTGCTGGGGCAAAGCCCTCTGGGTCCCTCCAAGGCTCTGGCAGAGGTCAGCCCAGGCCTCTAGCCTCACCCCTCCATGGGCACGGGAAGGGCTGTTGGCTGTGGCTCTCACGATTTTGGTCTCGGTCAGTGTCCACCAGGAGAAAGCAGCCATAGGCGGGGAAGAGGGGGCTGGAGCGACAGCACAGTGGGTAGGGTGTTTGCCTTGCACACAGCTGACCCAGGTTCCATTCCCAGAATCCCATATGGTCCCCTGAGCACCGCCAGGAGTAATTTGTGAGCACATGAGCATCGATGTGCATCGCTGGGTGTGAGAGGAAGGAAGGAAGGAAGGAAGGAAGGAAGGAAGGAAGGAAGGAAGGAAGGAAGGAGGGAGGGAGGGAGAGAAGGAGGGAGGGAGGGAGGGAGGAAGGAAGAAAGCCACTGACCCTTGCAGCACACAGCATCCTCTCCCACCCCAGGGCAACCTAGGGTCCCTCGGGAGGTATGTGGGTCTGGAAGAGGGGGGGCAGGAAGAGTCCCCCAGTGCCGAGCACACACACCACCACGAACACCCAGAGGAAGAGCCGGTCGACAACCATGGCCACGTACTTCCAGTCTTCGACCACCTGCAGGCAGGGAGAGCAGGTGACAGGGTGGGGGGAGACATCCTGGGACCCCCCTCCCAGCCTCCCCAGCCAAGCCCTGCCTTTGCCCAGGCGCCTTACTGGCCACTTGGATGGGTGGCATCTCAGTGGGGGAACGGGAATGGTGTGGATCTCTGTCTCAGGGGCCCCCTGCAGCGACCCTCAGAAAGGTTGGGGTCACGCCACCCCACACTTTGAGGGGGCAATCTGAATCTGAAACCAAACCAGATCATAAAAGGGGCTGGGGCTGGGGGTGTTCACCCAGTGCTTTCTCTTATTTGCACCATAATACCTTTTCCTGAGGTTCACCCCAAGGAAGGTTCGGGGGTGGGGGGCTGCAGAGCTGGGGAGGACGCAGGACCCTGGGGCCTGCAGGGTCCCTGGAAATCCTGCTGTTTAATTTGCTTAATTTGCTCAATTCAATCCTGTAATTAAGATTCAGCTTCCTCCTGCTGCATCAACTAGCTTTTCCTCCCCTTCACTGTCTCCCCAGAGCCAGCTGTAGGGTGTGGGGCTGGCAGAAGTAGGGCTGACACCCCGAGGTGGGGCCCCGTCTGCTCCCTTGGCCTGGTAGAGGGGTCCAGGAATCCCAACGTCTGTGTCCCTACACAATCTCGCTCGTCAGCCCCTTGGAGCGGGGTGGGAAACCAGGCTTGCTGGCACCAGCCATCCCGTGTATTAGGGTCCATCAGCGGTGCCCCTCCACCCACCACGGAATAATCCTGTGTCCCCAGGGCCTGCCATACACGTGGACACGCATGTGCCTGTAGACAGACAGACAGACACACACACACACACACACACCACAGCTGCCTGGCCTGAGAGTATATGTGCGTGTGTGTGTGTGTGTGTGTGTGTGTGTGAAGGCAGATATGCACCTGCCTTCCCCCTCTCTTTATATTTTTGTGCTGTATACAGAGCCCAGTGATTTGCTAGGGAGCATGAAAGTGCTGAGATGAGAAATGAAGCAGGGGCTGGCTTTGGGCAGGGGTGGGGGCCGGGGGGCCAGGCGAGGGCCGGGGAGAAAGCCTCTTCTCTCCAGCGGCCTGAGGACACCACTCAGTGAGCCTGTAGCTTCATAATCTGGGCAAGATAGTTTGAGGATCCTGCCTGGGTTCTGTCCAGCCAGCCCCCGCTGTGTGACCCTGAACGAGGTAGAGAGCCTCTCTGAGCTTTGCTCTCTCTGCAAGAGAACCTGCCTCACTGCTGTGGGCAGTGCTGGAGAGCAGTCGTGGGGGGCTCAGCAGCAACTCGGTGGTTGGCCGGAACTCACGGAAGCCCACCCTCGCAGGAACAGCCGGTTCTGCCTGGTTCCTTCCCCCAAGAGGCTTTTAATTAATCGGGTTAGAAAAAGCAGGAGCGGGCTGGAGCGATAGCACAGCGGGGAGGGTGTTTGCCTTGCACGCAGCCCACCTGGGTCGATTCCCAGCATCCCGTGGGGTCCCCCGAGCACTGCCAGGAGTGATTCCTGAGTGCAGAGCCAGGAGTAACCCCTGAGCATCGCCGGGTATGACCCAAAAAGCCAAAAAAGAAAAAAAGAAAAAGCAGGAGGCCCCTGAGTACCAAGGGGTGTGCAGGGCTCTGGAGGGGAGAGCGTGGGGCTCACGCAGCTCAGCCAGGGGTGCAGGAGACCAGTCCTTCCTGAAGCCCACTTGGGGTCAGGTGGACAGGGCAACTCCTGGACACCTTCGCACAGATCGAGGCTCTCCCAGCACAGCGCCCGCTCCCTCACCCCCTTCCCCGCAGGGGTGGGGCTGGAAAACGGGCCCATGTGGTCCTCACGGATCAATCTGCAGCACTCCCAGCTGTGCATGGACATTTGGGGGTCCCGGGAATCAGAGAGGCAGGGATACTGCCTGGAGTTACTTGGAAAGAATAGCATGGAACCCTGGTCAGGAAGTGAGATCTGATGGTCCTCTGTGACTGGAGCGTGCCCAGATGCACCAGCTGGGCGCTGCAGATGAGGGGTAGCAAGCCTGGGGCCATCCGCTGCCCATGTTTGCGACCAGCTTCAGGGTAGGGGTGCTGAGGACACCCCTGTGGCCAGGAGCGAGAGCCCACAGCCTGCTTTGCAGCTGGAAGCGATTCTGTGCTCCCCACGCAGCGGAGAGACGGCGCTTCTTCCATCTGCTCTTTTCTCCCCTCCAACTAATGGAATCCCAGCGCCTTCCCCGGAGACTGGCCAGGGAGCTGGGGGTTGGACCGAGCAGCTGTTCTCATTTCTCTACTTCTCAGGCAGCTCTCTGTGCTCTGAGGACTGGGTTGGCCTCAGCAGCAACGTGTGGAAAGGAGGATGTTTACAGCTGGTCCGTGAGACCCCCACCAGGAGTGCAGGACTGGAAAATCTCCACCCTCTCCCCGCTCCATCCGGGCTCTGGGGCTGTAAACACCTTGTTCCCGGAGCATTACCCGCTCGGGGAACTTGCAGGAGTTCCCTACACTCCAGTCCTAACTGCTCTGTCCTGTGGAAAATAACCAAAACATTGAAAATATATCTAGATATCTGGCGACCGTAGGCATCCCATAAAAATATTGTGTATTATATTGGCCTCATATGAGGATGTGTGAACAGATGTTTCTCAACCCCTCAAATCTGTGGCATTTCTGTGGGCCCTTCGCGAGCCCGAAGGAGGATGGAACCCCCACACCCAGAGGCTGCAGGAGGCAGCACCAGCCCCTGGGACCCTCCATGCAGCCTTTTCCTTTGCCCCAAGGGTTATGGCTACACCTCGAAGCTGGCTCCAAGGTCAGTGGGAGGCTCCAAGGTCAACAGGAATTGTGCCCTGGGGCCCTTCCTCCCCATGAAGGCACACACCATGGTCCCTCCAGGGGCTGAATCCCAGGCTTGTTCCCTGCATCCTTGGGGGTCTCTGGAATGGCGCCTCCCCAACTCCCCTGCTTTTTGCCTTTTTTGTGCCTCAAATTCCTTTCTTCCTTCCTACCCAAGCTTCCTGGGGTCCTTGCTCAAAACAACTGTCTTGACCTGCGTCCTCATCTTCACATTCTGCCTGTGGGGAGCCCCCAAATAAACAAAGGGAAGGGTCTTGTACATCTTTTCTCTCCATGCAGGAAGCTATAATAAAACCTGTTTTTGTTCCAGATACCTTACCCTTTGTCTCACCTGGCTTGGGTAAAGGGAAGCCCCAGCCCCCTCCCTCCAGTGAGCTGGGGGCACCATGCAAGGGCACCCCACAGGGGCGGGCCACCAACTCACGCTCTGGTCTTGGTCGTCGCTCCGCATGTGCTGGGCAATGAAGTTGACGCCCTCCAAAGCCTCCTGCAGCTCCTCCTGGAATTGCCCAGACGATGGGAGCCGGTGGTCCCCCGGGAGCCCCACAGTGGCCGAGCCTGTTGGAGATTTGGGGGCCGCAGAGGCAGGATTCACAAAGAACATGGAGTTGCCATAGAGGTGGGGGGAGCTGGTGGGGCCACCGGTCTCAGCCTTGGCCAGGAGGATCTGGCCTGGCTGGGGGCCGCCTGGGGGGCTGCCACCTGGGCGCTTCATGAAGAGGAACGTGGGCAGCTGGTGCAGGAAGTAGTGCTGGACCCAGGGAGGCATGCTGTGTGTGCTGGGTGAGCGGTGGTGCACGTTGAGCACGCACACGGTGGTGACGATGGAGAAGGTGACCAGCACCATGGTGAACATGAGGTACTTGCCGATGAGCGGCACGTCCAGCGAGGTGGGCGGCACGATCTTGGAGATGAGCAGCAGGAAGACGGTGAGCGCCAGCAGCACGGAGATGCAGAGCGTCATCTTCTCGCCGCAGTCAGAGGGCAGGTAGAAGACCAGGATGGCCAGCGAGGTGATGAGCACGCAGGGGATGATGAGGTTGATGGTGTAGAAGAGCGGCTTGCGCTTGATCACGAAGTCGTAGGTGACGTCCACATAGCGGGGGTCCTGCGGGTTCACCGTCCTCCGTCCCGGGAGTGCCACAATGTCCCACTCGCCGCTGGGTGTGAAGTCGTCCATGCTGGCTGTGGGTGACTTGAGTACCATGTCGATCTCCGTGTGGTCGTAGGTCCAGGAGCGGAACTTGAGGGTGCAGTTCTGCTGGTCAAAGGGGAAGTGCTTCACCTCGATCTTGCAGGCGCTCTTGTAGATGGCGGGCGGCAACCACATGGCACTGCCATTGGAGCGGACCACCACGTTGGTGTAGATGGACACCTCGTAGGACCCATCCGCACTGGGGCAGGGCATGAAGCAGACGTCAGGAAACCCACTGACAAGTCAGGCCTATGCTCAGAACCCCCCAGACCTCTGGATCCCTTGGGAGGACCACACCCCACTAACTGCCCTCCTGAACACCCTCTCTCACCCCACTGCCATGCCCTCCCAGCAAAGAACTGTTTCACCTGGTAAGTGCAGAGCAGAGAAAGTCCTATCAGTTCGGAGGCTTCATGTGTATGAGCTCATTTATACCTAGCAATAGCCCCGTAGGACTTATTGTCATTCCCATTTTACAGATGGGAAAAATGAGGTTCCCGGAAGTTCTGTGACTTCTGCATGGGCAAAATATGAGTAAGGAAGTATAGCTAAGATTTTTAATTTGCAGGTGCTCTTGTAGATAGCAGGTGGCACCCACATGGCAGTGCCATTTGTTTTCTTGTTTTATTTGGGGGGGGCGGGTGTTGGGTTGTACTTGACTGTGCTCAGAGCTTACTCCTGGCAGGGCTCAGGGGAACACTTGGGGTATGGGGACTGAACTCAGGTTGGCCACATGTAAGGCAAGTGCTCTACCGACTGTACTATCTCTCTGGCCCCTAAATTTGGCTTTTATCTTCACACCACACATGCTCATCATCATCTCATGCTTCTGCTGGTTCAAACTTCCACCCAGAAAGAGTCTCTCTCGCAACTTCCGCTTTCCTATCACACTGAGACATAGAAATCCAGCAATACCCACAGTTACATGTATAACGCAACTGAGAGTCCAATAAGCCTTGTGGAGGACAGAGAGGACAGTTAGGATGCTCGGGGCCTGCTGCACTGAGCCCCTACCACTGCCCCATTCCTCACTTGTAACTAAGTGGATTCACTCAACTTGAATCCACTTCTCAGCCCTGTGGCCTGGAAGGCAGCAGTGTGGGGACACAAGCAGGCAGGGCAGGGGTAGACCCAGCTTCGGAGGACACCCAGTGAGCCAACGGCCCTGCCCCACCTTAGCCCTTTTAAGTCTTGCAAAATTCCAACAGAACTTATTATGTCCTTTTTCCAGACGGAAAAAAAAACAAGGCTCAGGGGAGACGTGGTCAAGGGCAGACTCCCCTGGACTCCAGGCTGATGCTACACTCACTTGTTGTAAAGCACGATGTCAGGCAGCCAGAGGCGCTTGGCTGGGATCCTCAGGATGTTCACGCCCTCATAGCGGGAGCTGTTCCACGCCAGGCGGTAGTCGGTCCATTCCTGGGCAGGCAGGCAAGGCCTCATCATGGGCAGACCCCTCACCCCCACGGATCCCCCTGGAGAAAAGGCAGCTCAGGTGGGCTAGGATATGCGGGGCTCCTACCTGTTTCAGCCAGACGTTGGTGGTCATGAACTGCTCCCGCTCATTCTGGAAGGACACAGCTGTCAGTTCAGAAGGCACTTTCATGCCCAGGCCTGCTTTCTCCCATAAGCACCCCACGTTCTGGGCACATGTGACCAACTGCTGCCTAACCAACCATCTGTCGGGTGACTCACAGGCACTTCTCACCTGGCATGTTGGGAGGCACATCCCAGGGGTTCTCCCCACCTCGAGTGAGTTACCACACACAACCCCCACATAACCCCACACCATACCCTCTAGCAACCAGACCACCCCCATGACCCCACATATACCCCCACTCACACTTCCCATATACCCTACAACCCCACATAACCCCCCCCCCGCCTCACCCCACATCAACCCACATACACTCTCGGCACATTATCACAAACACCAAGCATATACCCCCCCACACACACCCATACACGCCCCACATACATCCCACATACTCCCCCAAAAACTCTCCCACATTCACACCACTACCACCTAATACACACACACACACACACACACACACACACACACACACACACACACAACCGTGCCGGCCTGTGTGCTCCTTAGAGAGGCCATGTTGCTTCAGAAATTGTAGTTAGAAGCTCTATTACTTGAAGTCAAAGTCTCTCCATCAATCCAAGACCTTGGATTTTCAGGTGGCTTCAAACTGTGGAACTGGGGTGCACATGCAGGCTTGCCCCCTCCCCCTCCCCCTTCCCCCCACTGCCCCCTGACCGCCCTCGACAGACTGAGCATACATGAAGGCAAAGACAAAATTTTGGAACGAAATCATTGTAACTTGAGGCCAGAGAGATTGTTCATATTTGGTACCACCAGGAGCGACCCTTGAGTGCAAGGTCAGGAGTAAGCCCTGAGCACTGCCAGGCGTGGCCCCCAAACAAAAGCAAAACAAAGAACCACAGCTCCAGGGCAGTCCTGGGATCTGCAATGTTGGCACATTGCCGAATCTCTGAAGAAGGGGAAAGATCTGATGCACAGCCTGGGGCTCTTCCAGAAGTCTGGGTGATGCCAAGGTGAAAACCTATGTGCCCTGAGTCTTGCCGTATGGCATGGCCACTCGGCCGCTGCTTTTTTCAAAGCCCTCCCGGGCCTCTGAGGGCCTTTCCACTGTCCCCGACCCCGCTCCCTCAACCCATCAGGCCACACGCATGTACCACGCTGATGAGCTGCGCCAGGGAGAGCTGCAGCTGGATGGAGATGAGCTGGGAGTTGCTGGTGGCCGGGCGGATCAGGTTGTTGTAGCGAGTTTTGTTGAGCAGGTCGTTCATGAGCTTCTCTTCGGCGTTGGCCCGGCGGCAGTCCCCTGGGAAAAGCAGGGTCAGCCCCACTGTCTGTGTCCAGCTCCCCTGCTACTGAGGGCCGGCTGGGGAGGAGACCAGGCACCCCCAGGCAGGCGCTTCTCAGGGAGATCTCGAACTGAACATAGCCCAGACGGAGTGCTGCTTCCCACCCACACCACCCTGCACCCCTTTCCCCCTGCAACCCCTCCAGCAAGGAGTGACCCCAAACTGAGCATCTCGCCAGGTCCATCTGCCCCCCCCCCCTTCGACTTCATCTCTAGCCCTGCTCTGAGCTCTCTGCGCTGCTTTGATATGTAGTGACCTCTTCCTGGTCTCTCCAGGGCCCCCCCAACTTGAAGGGTTCCAGGCAGAGGTGGACCCAACCCTGCCACATGACAGCTCCACCATGTGCCCTGTGCCCTGGCCCTGATGGCTCACAGCTCTCCCGTGCCCAGGCCGCTGCCTCCACTCCGCCCCCCCACCCCCGCCACCCCTACTTCTATCTGTGGGCAACCTCTTCCCACCCGGAAATGTCCCAGCGTCCTTCTTGACCACATGGGGGCTAAGGCCAGCCTGGAAGTGCCTCTCTCTCCTGCCCCCCAGTGTGGCCCCAGCCAGAAAGGTCATGTGCCAAAGGCTGTGGGGTGTGGAGCTTGCAGAGGTGAGGCTCTCACTGAGGATCTCTGGCGGCTCACATTTGGGTCTTCAGCATGCAAGGTGCCTGTGGAAGCCAACCGGGGGGTGGGGGGGTCCATCTGTCAGTAGGCTCCTGTTCTAGAGCTTAAAAGGGTGTTCTTAGAGCCCCAGGCAGGAAGATGATACAAATGGCAGGACACACATGTCGCATGCACGAGACCTTGTGTCTGATCCCGAATACTGCATGGCTCCCTGAGCACCACCGGGTGTAACCATGGTAGCCCCCAAGTACCACTGGGCTGCCCTGTAATTTCCTCCTCAGTTCCCACAAACTCAAGCCTAACCCTCTCTTCCACCCCAGATCTCTGACCACTTGGTTTGGGGGCCTTTGTCTTTGCTGCTTTACAGGGAAGAAGGGAAGGTCCTGGGCTCCCCCATCATGGTCTTCTGCGGGGAATGTCAGGGTTGGGTGGCAGGAGGGGTGCTGCGTTTGGAGGGAGCGAGAGGGTAGTGAGGGCCCTGGAGAAGGAAAGACAGGAACAGAGATGGGGCTTGCAATAGAGGAACCAGTGCAGGTGTAGGGGTGGGTGGGCGGGTAAAGATGGGAGCTGAGGAGAGGGATGTCGGGGACTCTCACGACTCCCTGACGAGGTTCAGTTTCCCAGCTGCTGCCTCTGCCTGGACAAGCAGGTATGCACTGGGCTTGGGGGGTGAGGGTGGGAGCTGGCTGAAATTAGGCCCCGGAACAGCCACCCCTGCCCGCTCCTGCTCTTTCCAACTCGTTGCCTATCTGGAGCTGCGCTGCCTATTTAGGAGACCGTGTGCAGGCTACTCCCGGCCCACCTGCAAGCGCTGGCCCTCGGGGGCTGCCCCGGGCGGGCCCTGCGGAGGCTCGGCCTACATTCCCAGCCCTGCTCTCACCCCGTGGAGGCCAGCTGCAGCCCCGGGCCTCCTCCCAGTCTGTCTGGTGCATGCACCGGGCGGTGCCATCCAGACTGGAGGGAGGGCAGCTGCGAGCTCAAGCCCACCCTCGCAGGGACGAGAGAGCTCTGGGGGGAGTCTGCGGTGTCCCCGCCTCGCATCACTGCGGGAGGGAGGCTGGCACCCACTTCTCCACAGTGCCCAGAGCCCAGGGGCAACCTTTCCAGCCTCTCATGTCTTATCTCGCCCCAGGGGGCCTGGCCTGGCTGGGGGAGGAGCAGTGAACCCCAGAGTCGGGTTCTGAAGACTTTGTGGGTAATTTATCAACTTTCCCCAAAGGCTGGGGGCAATGGTGGCCCCAAGTGCCATAGGCTGCCGCTTTCTGTTGTTTCACCTAAGGGAGGTAGATTTTGGAGGGAGTGGGGCACAGTGATTTGTTTCTCCCTGGGAAGGAGAAAGTAGGTCAAATGAACCTCTGATTTCCACCCATGTACTATCTTGCAGCCTGGGAAGCTGAAATCAAAGAGAGAAAGGAACATACTTAAGGACCTCCCCAGTCAGCAGCATCTAAACTGGGTCTAGAAGTTTCTTGTATTTATTTATTTATTTTGCTTTTTTTTTTTAAGGTCACACCTGGCAATGCACAGGGGTTCCTCCTGGCTCTGCACTCAGGAATTACCCCTGGCGGTGCTCAGGGTACCATATGGGATGCTGGGAATCAAACCCAGGTTGGCCGAGTGCAAGGCAAACGCCCTACCCGCTGTGCTATTGCTCCAGACCCCCTAGTTTCTTATATTTAAAATTCTTTTTTACTCTTTCCCCTTTTTTGGCTGGAGCAATAGCACAGCAGGTAGGGCATTTGCCTTGCATGCGACCAACCGGGTTTGATTCCTCTGTCACTCTCAGAGAGCCCGGCAAGCTACCGAGAGTATCCCGCCTGCACAGCAGAGCCTGGCAAGCTCTGCATGGTGTATTCACTATGCCAAAAACAGTAACAACAAGTCCCACAATGGAGACATTACGGGTGCCCGCTTGATCAAATTGATGAACAATGGGAGGACAGTGCTTTACAGTCCTTTTTTATCTTTATTTTTTTTGATGGAAGAATTGATTTTTGGTTACTCCAGGAGGTGCTATTCCAGGCTCTCTGTTCAGTGATCATTTCTACCAGTGTTCTGGAGAGCAGGAAGTGCCTGGGATCAAGTCTGGGCTTCCTGAATGTGAAGCCTGTGTCCAGTCCACTGAGTTGCTCTCTGATCCAAACAACTTCTCCAGACAGAGACCCTGTGCCTTCTTAGTGCTCAAGCCCCAGTAAGGAGTCTGCCCCGACAGGTATGTCCCGAGCTGGGCTGATGGGTGCTCATTCCTGAACTTGTGTTAGTACTTATACATGAGCAACTGAGGGCTGGGGTGGGAATGTCCAGCAGCCTGCTGAGGACTCCAGTCCACCCTCCCCCTGCTAACCCCCACAACACCCCTTGGGGGAAAGCCCAGAACAATAGTCCTTTAGACTTTCCAATCTGCTGCTTTATGCCCAGGAAGTTCAGCAGGTTCAACAGATAAGGTCTCTCAGGGATGGGGCCCAAGAATGGTGGAAGCTTCTGGGGTACAATTGGGGTAGGAAATTTTAAGGGGTTGGGGGGACTTAGACAGGGACCACCACTAGGGGTCAGCCAGCACCCAGTGATTCTGATGAATGAGGCAACTAGCCTACCCTGGCTTCCAGGAAAAACTGCTCCCCCGCTGCCCGCCCCCCCTCCCATTAAAGGGGTTAGCGGCCAGAGAGGAAGCCACCTAGGGTTCTAAACTGTGAGTGTGTACAGGCTGCAAAGACACATCTGCTCTCAGAATCTGTATGGGAGAGCCAGAAACATAACACCACCTGTTTCAGAATACAAACCACAGAAAGTCAACTAGCCACAGAATTGTCTTGGCCAAGGGGTCTTGAGGATGGCAGAGAAACTGATTTTCACTTGGGGATGGAGTTCGGGGTAAGAGAAGGTGGTGGGCCTTGGAAGGGAACAGATTTGCATTTGCTGAAAGGCAGCTCTGGAATTTTCTTTTTTCTTTTTGTTTATTTATTTAAAGTAAATTTATTTATTGAATCACCGTGAGAGCAGTTACAAAGCTTTTGGGTTTAAGTCCAGGTCATACAATGATCAAACACCCGTCCCCTCACCAGTACACATTTTCCACCACCAAAAACCCCGGTATGCCCCCCCACCCCACACCCTCCCCCTACCTGTGTGGCAGATGATTTCCACTTCACTCTCTCTCTCTATTTTGATTATGGAATTTTCTTTTTTAAGTTGAGTTTTTAGCTTTTTTTCCCCCAAAAAGAATTTACCACACGCAAAGTCATAGCTATTTCAACTGAGCACAAGAGTCATCTGGATGGTCCCAGGCTCCACGGACAAAATTTCAATCCTGAGGGGCCAGGGTGAGCCCAGGAATGGGGTGGGGCAGGCAGCCCCAGGACTCCGCTTAAGAAACAGCCCAACTGAAGAGGAGCTATAGAACAGTGGGCAAATGTCCACAGGGTCTCCTTACCCCTACCGGAATGATCCCTGAACCAGGACTAGCCCTGAGCACAGCAGGGTGTGGCCCCCAACAAAGACAAAAAAGAAACGCTGCAAATGGACATTCCCATGCCGGAGTCTGCAAGAGTGAATGCTCCCCCGTTGCCCAGAAGGGGAAACTGAGGCTGAGAGGGGAGAAAGGACCCACCCAGGTTCACCCAGGACGTACAGAAGCAGTCTCAGCCTCGCCTTCCGGCACCCCTGCAGCATCCCTGCCCAAACAGGGTTACCAGAGTGCACCTGAGGGGAAGAGCAGAAAGCCTTGGGACCTCGGGTGGGGAAACTGAGGCCAGATCAGGCATTCCTGACCACCCGCCGTCTCCGCGGGGGAAGGGTTTTCAGCCGGGTGCCAGAGACCCCAGGCTCCCGAGAGCAGTCACAGGGCGCAAGAGTAGGGTATCCAGGCTGGCCCAACTACTGGGGAGGGGGTAAACTGAGTCAGGGCGCCCTAAAAGTCTTTCACCCTCACCCCCCGCACAGTCTTCCCGGCTGGGCCAGGTCTGCATCTCCACCAAAGCGAACCCGGACCTTCTCTCCTGGGCCAGCGGCGGTCTGCTCCGGACCGGACCGTCTACACGTCACCCCTCCGCGCCCGGGAGGAGCGGGATGCCCCCACCCCACCCCGCGCGACCCGGCCCAAAGGAACTCCAAAGAAAGCGCTCCGCACCACCCCCAAACCTCGCAGACCCCGTTGCCAGACTCCACGGTGCCTCCTGGGCGGGCGGGCTCAGCCCCTCGCAGGGACACCTCGGGCCACTCCCCCGCTGCCGTCCCACCCGTGTCCCCTCCCCGCTGCACCCCCTCCCCAAAAAGAGAACTCACCGAGCCCGCATAGAACAGCCAGGGAGAAAAGGACCAGGGGGCGCGCGCTCCTCATGATGGGCGGGACCGGGGCACAGCCTGGGCGAGCTCAGCGGGCGGACCGGGCGCGGGCAGCGGCGAGCAGCTCTGTGAGCTCGGCTGTGCCCAGGCCCAGGGTTCGCAGGTGGCCCCGCGGGCACTAAGACCTCGCCGAGGGCCCGGCGTGCGCTCAGCGTGATGCCACGCCCACCGAGGGGCGTGGCCCTGTGGGCGTGGCCAGAGGCGTGGGGGCGTGTCCTGGGGCGGGGCCGGCGCTGCTGGACCCGAAGGTTTCCTCGAGGGCCGCAAGCAGACAGCTGGTGCCCTTTGCACCGAGGGGAGACTGAGGCCCGCGCGGGACCCTTCCCTGGCGGGGACCGTTGTTGCCGGGACTTTGTCGCCGTCTGATATCCGGCTTCGCGGGAGCTGGAGCAGAGCGGTGGCTCTCTGCGGATACTGCGCAGGGACTGGCTGGAAAAGGGTGAAATTTGGAGTCTCCTGACCCACCAAGTTGGGTCCCGTGGAAGAGGGGACGGAGTCAGACGGGATGTCTTTTGCTTCCTCGGGCCTTACAAGCACACCTTCCTCGGTCAGGTGGCCCTTCCTACGTTTTAGAGTCATTCTCTTGGGCTGGAGCGGTAGCACAGCGGGTGGAGCGTTTGCCTTGCACGCAGCCGACCCGGGTTCAATTCCTCCGCCCCTCTCGGAGAGCCCGGCAAGCTATCGAGAGTATCCCGCCCGCATGGCAGAGCCTGGCAAGCTCCCCATGGCGTATCCAATATGCCAAAAACAGTAACAATAAGTCTCGCAATGGAGATGTTACTGGTGCCTGCTCAGCAAATGGATGAACGACGGGAGGACAGTGCTACAGTGCTACCATTCTCTTGGAGGTTGGGGGTGGGAGGTCTCCAGGATGGGCATCTGCACCAGGGCAGAGCAGCCTCTGAATCTTGTCCAGGCTGGTGCCTCAGTTCAGGGTCTAAACCCACTTGGTTGGCCCCGGAGATGGCTCAAAGGGCTGGCTGCTTTGAGCATGCTTTGCCTGCAGAATGCCTGGGATCCATTCCTGTCACTGCATCCCTGAGACCTCTGTGGACCAAATTTGGCCAATGAACCTGGAATAGGCCTTAGCACCCCAGACCTCCAAATAAAATAAAATAAAATAGATCCTGGCTGTCAAATATAACAACTGGAGGAGCAGGTAGGAATGGAAGGTTTGTGGGGAGTGATCACTTAAAAAGGCAACTTGATCACCTCCACAGACTAAATCTAGTTACCATATTGACTGTGTCAGTGTCTTTTATTACAACGTGACATTGACTTGACATAGAATCTTTAGAAAGAACACTGTTGAAATGAAACTGCCTTTTCAGAAAAAACTGTGAGGCCAGTATAAAACAAAAGCCCTAGGCAGATGAACTAAAATCAGAAAAGAAACAAAAGGGTGTGTGTGTGTATGTGTGTGTGTATGTGTGTGTGTGTGTGTATATGTGGGTGTGGGTGTCTCTGTCAGTGAGACAGAAAGATTGAAGTGAAGCGTGGGGCCTGCTGGGCTCTGGAAGCCAAAGGCAAAGGCAAATCCTTTACATAAAATGGGACCAAAAGATTAGGCAAGAAACTGGGGGCTTGTTGTTATCCAGTGCCTGGAAAAATGCATGTGTGTGGCTGAGTTGCTCATTGTGGGGGGTGGGGGAGAACTGCCCTTGATCTGTTGTTTGAGATCCTATTATCGCCTGACATATGTACCCCTAGTGTTTCACAGGCTGGGAGCTTGTAAATACCAAAACCTGAGCCAGAGAGATAGTACAGGGGGTAAGGGGCTTGCCTTGCATGCAGCCAACCCTGGTTCAATCCCCAGCACCACATGTGGTTCCCTGAGAACCACCAAAAGTTAGCCCTAAGCATGATCAGGTGTGGCCCTGAACTTGTCAGATGCAAAGCTCCGAACTAGGTTAGTGAAAGTGGGAGGGTCAGAAGAGACCAAGGAAGAAGAGAGATGAAATATCATCCTTTTAAAATAATCTTCACTTGCACCTAAAAGTAGAAGATGTGTTTGGAGAAGGATGGGAAATACCAAAGAGACAGAAACTACCTTAAGGGGTTCTGTGAAGCAAATCTGGGGCAGGTCAAACCTAAAAATATAGACTGACAATGGTGATAGTGATGGATACTCATCGAATAAAACGAGGAACCGAAACGTGTACGGAAGTAAGTGAATCACTGAAACTTTGAGTAAGAAGCTGGGAGACGGTATAATGTGTTGGGTTCATTTCCCAGCACCACATAGCCCAAATGTCTCTGGGGCTGACCTTGGTGTGTACCAACCCTTGGGCTGAGTCTTGCTGACTGAGAAATGCCAGGAATGGCCCCCGAGCCCCCCTGAGTTGGGAATCCTTCCTCACCAAAATCTGATAAATCAGATATATAGTTATAAAACACCTACCCATGAAAACACTGATTAGAGGAAAGAGCTAATTTTACAGAGGGGAAAGCTGATGAGTACAATCTCTGGGCTGAATAATGTCTTCAATAGCACAGCGGGTAGGGTGTTCGCCTTGCACGCAGCCAACCCGGATTTGATTCCCAGAATCCCATGTGGTCCCCTGAGCACTGCCAGGAGTTATTCCTGAGTGGAAAACCAGGAGTAACCCCTGAGCATCGCCAGGTGTGACCCGAAAAGCAAAATAAATAAATAAATAAATATATGAAAGTTTGCCCAAGTGTCAAGGTTATAAAATTCAAGGAAGGCTGAGGAACTGTTTTCAGTGGAAAGAAATTGGAGACATTAAAACTAAATACAGGGATCAAAGCTCAAAGGGCTGGAGTGCAAGCTTTGCATACCAAAGTCCTGAATTTTTTCCCCTGAGCACCAAGCCAGGAGTATTCATCCCTAGACCACTTCTGGGTGTGAGTCCAAAACAAAACAGGAATTGGTGAGGTCGTACAGCAGATATGGGGCTTGCCTTGCACATGACCAACGTGGATTTGATTCCCAGGGCACCATATTGTCCTCTGGAGACCAGCCATATCTCCTCCTTGCTCCCCTGCCTCCTAACCAATCTTATTGCTTTGCAGTCCTCAGGTATTCCTTGTATGATTTTATACAGATTTATGTATATTTAGAATAATTAAAAAAAATTAAAGGAGTGTCTGGGGGTGTGTGATGCAGTGATAAAGCACTTGTCTTACACGTATCAGACTGGGGTTTGACTCCCAGCACTACAGATAAGCGATAAAGAAAAAACAAAGGAGACGTGGGTGGGTGGGCCCAGGAGGGGGCTGACCGTGGAGATGGGCAGTGGCTCTCCCAGCTGTGTGCCTGGCTCCAGCTGCAGACTGAGCTATTGTCCAGGGGCCAGACAGACAAGCAAACATCCTGGCCTGGGGTTCTGCCACCGCCTGCCACCTGCTTCTTCTGCAGTAGCCTTGGCCCTGGGGGAGGCTGGCTGGCTCGCCAGCTGAGCCTGGGCTGCAGCGCTCTTGACCAGAGAGATGGAGCTGGCAGGGATCCACCACAAATCCCCCACACAGAACTCAGGGTCCTGAGGGTGGAGCTTGTGGTGTCCAGGGGTTCATTATGCTCTCTTCCTTGGTACTGGGTTGGCCCTGAGGCTTGATGCCTGGATTCTAATCTCATCAGTCAAGATAGCCAGGAGCACAGCTAGTATCCAAATGCTTGACTGTTTACCTCCTTTCTACACTACCTTTTCTGTCAGGGCTTCTGTTTGGAGGTCTGCTGTGGTTCGGCATAAGGGCCACACTCGGCAGTGCTCAGGGCTTACTCCTGGCTCTGTGCTCAGAAATCACTTCTGGTGGTCTCAGAGTACCTTATGGGGTGCTGGGGACAAAACCCGGGTGGGCCATGTGCAAGTACTTTCCCCTATACCATCTTTCTGGCCCAGCATCCGACGCTCTGCCTGTGATCTCTCTGATCTCCCCGCTGCGTAGACCAAGACAGGAGGCTCAGGCAGAGAAACTGAGGTAAATGCCTCAGGGGTCTCTTGAGATCCCCACAGTGAGGAGTCAGGCACATCTATTCCCTGGGTGCCATCAGTGGGCAGCAGAGCAGAAAAAGAGGGCTGGAGTCAGGGACCTCTCAGCTCTCAGCTGCAAGGCATGGGGGAGTGGACATCCTCTGAAGACTAAGCAAGCACCCCTATAGCCTTTATTTTTTCTTTTATTTTCTTTTATTTTGTTTTTTGGGTCACACCCAGGGATGCACAGGGGTCACTCCTGGTTCTTCACTCAGGAATTACCCCTGGCGATGCTCAGGGGACCATATAGGATGCTGGGAATCAAACCTGGGTCAGCTGCATGCAAGGCAACGCCCTACCCGCTGTGCTATGGGTCCAGCCGCCCCCCCCCCAAGCCTTTAAGCAGAATATTTCCCTTAGTGGGAAGCTCCCAGCCACTAACTGAGCCTAGCAAGAGTCTGGGGGCTCTGAGCACCTTCGCCCATTCTTCACCTCGAGAACAAATCCCCCAACACTAATACCCTCCCTCAAGCCCTCCCCAGGCCTCCCTACTTCCCAGAAAGTACGTCTCTGTACCCCTTCTGTTTCCGAGGATGGCTGCAATGTGTTCCTAAAAAAGGGCAATCCAGAGAGTGGGACCCCCCAAAAAACCTGAGAGTGGGCCCTAGGCAATCAGAAGCTCTCCATGCCCCTCCCCAGGGGAATGTGCATTTCTCTTGCTTCTGCACTTGCAGAAGCTGCCCCCACCACTGAGGTCCAGGCAAAGCCCGCTCTCAGCCCTTTAAGCTTTCTCTTCAGTCCTGAAATATTTCCATAACACCCACAGTTTTTTTTTGTTTTGGTTTTGGGGCCACTGTTGGCTATGCTCAGGGATTACTCCTGGCTCTGTTCTCAGGGACCGTACGAGAAGCCAGTGATCAAACCCAGGTTGGTCATGAGCCAGGCAAGTGCCTTTGCTGCTGTACTATCCTTCTGGCCCCAACAGTAACATTCTGTTGTGACTTTTTGAAACCCATCACTCCCTGCACCACTGCCCCAGGCAACTACAGATCTTGTTATTCCTGTGGACTAGTTCATATTTTCTAGAATTTAATGTAAGTAATATT